GAGGGGCTGTGACAAACTGTTTCGTCGGAGTTTCACCGACTCATCAGGAGGCTGAACCCAGAGAGAGAGAGAGAGAGAGAGAGAGAGAGAGAGAGAGAGCCCGTAGGTTGGTCCCTTGCTCGTCCTAGTGAGAACGAAACAGCGGCACCTTGTTTTTGGATCGTTTGAAGATGGTTAGATGACCACGTCAGTACTTTGTCTGACTTGATTACTATTCTCTTTCTTTTTCTTATTGACAGCTGCCAGCCTGGTCCAACTGATCCTGCGTTCTCCTCCTCCTCCTCCTCCTCCTCCTGCGTTTTTTTTTTTTTTTTTGGCAGTTCGAGTGTCTGGACGGGACAGCGAATGGCTTGATTGCAGGTCGCGCCCTTACAGCGCAAGCGGGCATGGCTGGGCGTTTTTTTTTTAAACAATTAATCAATAAGATCAAACAATTAATCTCCCTTTGCTCACATCATACATACATGATTTAATCTCCCTCTGCTCCTCGCATCAGAATACCTTTCCGCAAATGTCCTTCCTGTCCTGCTCACATCATACCCTTCCATAACTTCCGTCTTCGTCTCCTTTTCCCATCGTGCCATTTCTTCCCATCGCTCCTTGTACCCCAAACTGCCCACTCGTGTCGCTCCTTTCTACACTCAACCCTTCTCTGGCTAGCGCTTCTCCTCTCCCGTCCTTGTCGTCCCAATCTTGCCCTGCGTTCTTATCGCTTCTTTTTCCATCTGCCCTTTGTCCTCCTGTAGCCACCAGTCGTCCTTTCTCCTATTTCTATACATTTTGTCGTTCTCTTACTTTCTCTCCTCCTACCTTCGCTCTTTCATCTCTATTCTCCTCGTCCTCTTCTTCCTTTCACTCATCTTTTTCGTCCCCTCGCGTGCAGCCCTTTGTCCTCCTCATCACTGTGTGCCGTGCCGTCTCTCTGCCCCTCCCATCATGCTTTCACCTCATCTTTCACCTTCCTTCAACCCCAAACACTTCCTCCTTTCCATCGTACCCCTCTCATTACTGCTCCCCCTTAGGATCCCCCTACCTATGTTCCCCTCTCGCCCTCTACAGGGGTGCCGCTTAATACCCTTATTCTCCTACAGGCTTGTATTATACCGCTAGTTTGCTCCCCTTGTCTTGGTCGTTGATTGGGTCGGCGCAATTGCCCCCCTCTCCACTTTCTTCACTCTCTTTTTCGCTTTGTCGGAGACTAAATCATGTATGTATTAGGGGGTTTACCGCGCATGAATATGCCTTGTAAGGGAGGCACGTTTACGCGGGAAACTCGACCAGGTCTCCGGCTAGAGGGGGGTTAATACTATAATAACACATCCGCCTTACCCATATATTTGCTGTCCAATTTTTTCTGCTCTCGATTTCTTTTCTGTCTGTGCGGTCTCTTGCTCTCGTCCCCTCCCTTTCATGCGCGCCCTTTTGTTCGACCTCTTTTGTCCACGCCCTTCTTGCCCCGGTCGTCTCTCTCTACTTCTTCCCCCGTGCTCTTACCCCGCCGCTTTCGCCCCCTGCCGCTTTC